GGCATGGATCAATGTCTATTTTTGAGAATCTACAAACAGAGCTAAAATCATTGTGTAGCCACTGAGAGAAGGGAGGGCAGCGTTAGGAGTCAATCCAGCTCTGCTGCATGCACACGTGCTGACAGGAGGAAAAAGCAGAGGGAGAAAGCCGTACTGTTTTTCCTTCACTGCCCAGTCAAAGGCTTGGGATGAGAAGGGGACATCACTGTATTCCTTCCTTGGAGAAGAAAGGGGTGCAGCAATCCTGGCTGTGCTGTCTGGCAGAAGCGTATTAAGTAAATGGGAAAAGGGCAAAGTTACAAATCCTTTGGCAAATAAAACGGCTCACATGTATATCGCCCATGCATTGAAAGGTTTGCCCACCGCTCAGCTTTCCAAACAAGTAATCTCTATATAAATAAGTGATAGAATTATGTCTGAGAAGCAGTAGAGCACAAAGGATTCTTTGGAAAGGAAACACAAGTACAGGGCACTGATAAGAAATGCACACTGCAATGTATAGCTAAAGGCAACACTTCCCTTTGGATTTGGATAGATTGGAGAGGGATTAGAACCACAGTCAGTTTTTATTGCGGTCTGTGTCCTCACTAGGGAGACACTCTTCCTGAGCGTCCTGATCACCGGGAATGATAGTGACTGGCAATCTAAAATTTCGAGCTTCCACCAGAACAGGAACAGAAGTGAAATCTTCCAAAGGGGACACTTATTCCCGTCACCATACACATTGTGATCTAACCATACAATCTTTGTACAATAAACTTTACATTTGCCATAATGATGTAATATGAAGCAACACCTAAACCATCCAATCAATTTGTATCCAATCAGTCATGCACTACAAAGTTGTTAGTGATCTCGATGAGAATGAACAATCAGATTGTGTCATGTGTGGTGGGCTTTAAGCGGAGCTCCACCCAAAAGGGGAAGTTCCGCTTTAAGCCTTTTCCCCCCACTCCCCATTAAGGATTGACACCTTTGGGGAGCGGGTACCTGAATTTGACAGGTACCTGCCTCCACTTCCGCTGCGATGGCCTAGGCTATCGAAAGAGTATGTTGTCCCCCCTTCCCTCCCTCCCCGTAGTCTTCTGGGATACGTGACAGGTCCCAGAAGACTACAGGGCCATTCACAAAGCGCAGCGCTTCTCACGCATGCACAGTAGGCACCTGGTTTGGAAGTCGCAAGCTGTCACAGCTGGGTGCCCACAGTGAAGATGCCGGTGCCAGGGAGAGAAGTTAGCCGGTGAAACCAGCTATGGTGAGGACACCGCTGGACCAAGGGACAGGTAAGTGGCTGTATTTTAAAAGTCAGCAGCTCAAGTTTTTGTAACTGCTGACTTTTTTTTTTTTCAGGTGGAACTCCGCTTTAAGAGGGGATCTCCCTCACATTGGAAACATATCTTCCCACTTCCTGTTAAGTTTACGGGACAGAAAGTGAAGAAAAATCTCCTAACTGATGGCAAAAATCAAAACTGACAGCGGTTTTAACCTCTCCTACACTTTATCCACAATGAAAGTTTTGGGTTTAGATATAAAGCAGTATTAAATCCCAAAATAAAAATGTAATAGATTGGGGCTCACCAATCCTTAGATATGGTGGTTGTTTTAGTTTTTTTTTTTAGGTGTTTTTTCCCCCTTTATTTTCACCTGGTGATCCAGCCAGTAAGGCATATTTTTCAACATCCTTTAAGAGACCAAGCTGTCCAGCAAAAAATCGCAGTTAGAAACCATTTACCACTGACAGGGGTGTTTACAATCATCAGCTTGTATTTATTTATGCAAAACCTCTAGCCCAAAAGGAAAATAAAACTGTTGCTGTAACTGCTTATTAGGGCTTTCCATTCCTTAGATGTAGTGGTTGCTTTAGTTTTCTTTTTTAGGTGTTTTTTTCTTTTTATTTTCACCTGGTGTTTCAGACAGTAAGTCTTATTTTTCAACTTCCTTTAACAGACCAAGCTGTCCAATAAAATTGTCAGTTAGAGGGCTGGGACAAACCATTTGCCACTGACAGGAGTGCTTACAATCATCAGCTTGTATTTATTTATGTAAAAGCTCCATCCCAAAAAGGAAACAAAAATGTTGCTGGAACTGCCTATTAAGTATTAGTTGGAGTTAGGTTTAATTTATTCACCATCTAAATCTTCTATTACATCTAATACTCCCCTCACCCCAGGTTGACAATGCTGCTGTCCAAAGATGTCTCCATTGCCCCTCCATCCAGAGTAGAGTCACTGCTACACTGCTAAAAAAAATTAAAAGAACAATTTTAATCAGAGTATAGCATCAAGTTAATTAAACTCCTGGGATATTGATCTGGTCAGTTAAGTAGCAGAAGGGGTTGTTAATTGGTTTCAGCTGCTTTGGTGTTAATGAAATTAACAACAGGTGCGCTAGATGGGCAACAATGAGATGACCCCCAAAACAGGAATGGTTTTACAGGTGGAGGCCACTGGAATTTTGTTCCCTACTCATCTATTCTGTTTTTCACTAGTTTTGCATTTGGCTAGGGTCAGTGTCACTACTGGTAGCATGAGGCCATACCTGGACCCTACAGAGGTTGCACAGGCAGCCCAACTCCTCCAGGATGGCACATCAATATGTGCCATTGCCAGAAGGTTTGCTGTGTCTCCCAGCACAGTCTCAAGAGCATGGAGGAGATTCCAGGAGACAGGCAGTTACTCTAGGAAAGCTGGACAGGGCTGTAGAAGGTCCTTAACCCATCAGCAGGACTAATATCTACTCCTTTGTGCAAGGAGGAACAGGATGAACATGGTCAGAGCCCTACAAAATGACCTCCAGCAGGCCACTGGTGTGAATGTCTCTGACCAATCAGAAACAGACTTCATGAGGGTGGCCTGAGGGCCCAACGTCCTCTAGTGGGCCCTGTGCTCACTGCGTGGCACCATAGAGCTTGATTGGCATTTGCCATTGAACACCAGAATTGGCAGGTCCATCACTGGCACCCTGTGCTTTTCACAGATGAGAGCAGGTTCACCCTGAGCACATGTGACAGATGTGAAAGGGTCTGGAGAAGCCGTGGAGAACATTAGGCTGCCTGTAACATCGTTCAGCATGAACATTTTAGTGGTGGTCAGTGATGGTTTGGGGAAGCATATCCATGGAGGGACGCGCAGACCTCTACAGGCTAGACAATGGAACCCTGACTGCCATTAGGTATCGGGATGAAATCCTTGGACCCATTGTCAGACCCTACGCTGGTGCAGTGGGTCCTGGATTCCTCCTGATGCACGACAATGCCCAGCCTCATGTGGGAAGAGTATACAGGCAGTTCCTGGAGAATGAAGGAATTGATACTATTGAATGGCCCCCACTCTCACCTGACCTAAATCCAACAGAACACCTCTGGGATATCATGTTTTGGTCCATCCGATGCCACCAGGTTACACCTCAGACTGTCCAGGAGCTCATTGATGCCCCTCTCCAGATCTGGGAGGAAATACCCCACGACACCATCCGTCGTCTCATTGGGAGCATGCCCCGATGTTGTCAGACATGCATACAAGCATGTGGGGGCCATACAAATTACTGAGGACCATTTTGAGTTACTGCAATGAAATTTCAGCAAAATGGACTAGCTTGCTGCATCATTTTTTTTCACTTTGATTTTCAGTCCTCTGTATGTTGATCATTTTTCATTTCCATCAAACGATGGGGCATCCTTACATTCCTAACACATTACCCAGTCCATATCAGTATAGATATCCAGCAGGAGATTTTTTCCCCATTGAGATCTGATGTGTTTTCAAAGTGTTCCTTTCATTTTTTTTTACCAGTGTATAATATATAGAGGACAGCACAGTGGCTAAATAGTTAGCACTTCCACCTGGCAGTACAAGGGTTATTGGTTCAAATCCCAAGCACGGCACCACCTGCCTGGAGTTTGCATGTTCTCCCTGTGCCTGTATGGGTTTCCTCCCACACTCCAAAGACATGCTGGGAGGTTAATTGGCTGCAGTCTAAATTGGCCCTAGTATGTGTATGTATGAATGTAAGTTAGGAACCTTATATTGTATGCACCTTGAGGGTCAGGGACTGATGTGAATGTAGAATACGCTGCATAAATTGACAGCACTATAGAATTACCTGGAATACATAAATGACAGGTACTTCTATAGCACTGTTAATTTACACAGTGCTTTACATACAGTATATTGTACATTCATATCAACATATATACACATATACATATATATACATATATATATACACATATACATACATATATACATACATATATATATATATATATATATATATACACACACACATATATATATATACACACACACACATATATATATATATACACACATATACATATATTACACATATATATATATATATTTTATTTATTTTTTTCCCTTTATAAACAACTAAATTTATATATTTGTGTTAATATAATAATTATATTTAAATTGCAACATCATATATATAGTAATATTTTACAAATATTTCAAACAATGTAGAAAGTTGTAGGTTCCATGAAACCCAGGACAAAGCACCCCGAGTTATTCACACCTTCAGCGGAGCCTCAGATCCCGTACAAGGAAAAAGAGGAAAAGGAAAAAAAAAATTCCGGGGAAAGAACTTTCCTAAATTCTGATTCCCAGGAATGCAGCCGCAGCGCCCCGAGCGGCCTGTAGGGGGAAGTGCCGAGAGCTCCCGAGCTCCGGGCCATTCTCCCGGCTAGTGCTAACTGACATCAGAGCGGTAGGAGGCGTGGCCCGGACTGGGGGAGGCGTGGCTGGCACATGCCCGTATAAGTAGTGGAGCAGCTGCTCGTTCTTGTCAATGGACAGCTGAGAGTCTCAGGTGGCTGAGCAGGCAGCGGTGGAGCTGACTTGTCCTAGTGTGACTGAGGATCTCCGGTCCTGTGCACCCCAATCACCGCTCCACTGCCTGCCCCATCCTCCTCCTCCTCCTCCTCCTCCTCCTCCTCCTCTGCAGCACCGCTAACCAAGTGTGGACCTCTGTTCACTGACATGTACCCAGGACTCCTTCTCCTCTTCACCCTCCTGGCTGCTGGCTGCCATGGGAAGCTGGTAAGTGACTTGTTCGCAGTCAGGGGTTCCATTCTGCAGATCAGGCTTGCAGCTCTTGTTGGACATTTAGATTTAACCCTTTAACTTGCAGTCTAACAATGGCTAGTTTGATGCCCATGTCTCTTGACCAAGCTGGCCATACTGAACTAGTATCAGCAAGCTGCTGGGGAGGCTGTCCTTGTCTGCAGAGCTTGCAATCAGGGAAGTAACTGCTTAAGACAGACCATGCACCTGTCAAAGAACCTTAATGGGTCCTGTACTCTGCTTACATTGTATATGATAGAAAGAATGTTTGGCAAATACATCCTGGATAAAATGTGTAATTTAGTTTGATATTTGGTATCCCTAGGATTGCCATTGTGAAGGAAACTAAAAGATAAGGGGCCCCTTAATGGTGTTGCAGTGGGGCCCCATCACATAATTGCAGCCTTGCTAGCAGTCTAGGTGTTAGCGGTTTGTTGTCAAAAGCTGACCATACACTATACAAGCAGATCTCCTGTAATGCAAGGACCTGCCTGATTGGATATGATTTGACCAGATGGTTTGCGGTTTGTCCTTGATTTATAAAGATTGTGCAAATCTTTTGATTTACCAAACTGATGTAATCTATAGCTTTACAAAAATTATCTAATAGAAAGACAAACCTTAAACTTTCCATTGAATTCGTATCCAATCAGCTAGACCTTTGCATACAACCAGATTGTATAATAGATGGCCGGTTTAAGATTCCTTTGCACAGTTTTCTGGAAGATCTGCCATCTCTAGGTTTTCATGTGCAAAGATTTGTGTGTTTACCCTTTCGCTTTGTTCTGATTGGCCATTAAAATCGGGGTTGGCTGTCGGTCACGGTACATTTGTCAGCATCCTAACACTTGTGAGGTTTGATCCGAAAATGGAGAATAGAGACTAGAATTGGGCCCTATTCACACCTGTGCATTCTGTTGCTTGAAGCTACAAAAACACTCAAAACACAAAAAATTCTGGATGTCCATAATGCAAAAAAAGCCCAGGAGCTTCTTTGGTAGATTTGGGCATTTTTGGCCCCATTGACTTCAGTAAGAGCACCTGAAAATGCATGTTACAAGGGTTTTTCAGGTGCTTCCATAAGTCTACGGGGCTAAAAACACACCATCCTGATCCAAAGAAGCTACTGTATGGCACATCACGTAAATGGTGTAAAAATCACAAAACAAATCTCCATAACCTTAGCAACTAGTTCATTGGTTGCTATGAAAAACTGCACATGGATGCAGCCATTGACCTGCTTCATGAGTCTGAAGACCATGCTCTGCTGCATCCCTCAGCTGCCAATCGAAAGTCAACCTTTGTTAGTTTAGGGGGATTCAAGTAAAGGTAGATGACTTAAAATTGGTCAGATCACTATTTTTTGCATGTAGTCAAAAAACTTTAGATGTGCCAAGCAGGACTAGTATGCCTGAAAACAATGACCAACACAATTTATTTATTTTTTTTTTTTTTGTAAGGTGCGCTGAGAGCAGCGTGATGCAATGACAAGCTTTTAATGAAATGGTCCATTTTATTGCTGTGCTGAAAGCTTCCCCTTGATATAAGTTGGGTGATGATGAGTAGTTGACCCCCTTACACACTCCACTGCCACCCACGTGTCTGGCAGCAGATAAAACGTTTCCTTCTATAGCGCCATTAGAAAGTTCGCTACTGTTCCATGTTAATCAATCAATGAGTGTGCTGTGATGAGATCAAAGTCTGGTTGTTGGTGGCTCAGATTGGCCCAGAGACGGCTGGAGACTTGTGAGAAGGGGGTGGGGGGTGTAAAAAATTTGTGTCAGTTGACTCTCCATGGTCGGGGTGAATAGGCATAGTTGTAGTATCCTGTTTTGTCTGGCTCTTTTACACTCTTGTGACTTATGAGGACTAGAGACTCAAGGGGGTTTGCTGGCAACTATAGTTCTTTGGTGGCCACCCAACTGGGCTTTGAGCTTGGAAGACCTCTGCTGACAGATCAGTAGCTCATGTGGTTGGGAGATGCAAATATGTAAATTTGAAATTGCCACAATCTAGGGTCCCGCTGGTATTTGGTCATGTGACTGGCGTGGAGGATCGCAATTCAGAAAGGGCCGCTGGAATGCCAATCTCTGATTCCATGTCTGTGGACCATGTGAGTTTATTTACTAAAGTTGGGGGATGTGTAGCAACCAATCAGAATTCATTTCTAGGGAACAAAGTCCTGAATAATTCACTGGCTATTTGCGCAGTCCTTCTCTTTATAAGCGTTCCTGCTTCACGTGCCTGATGTTAAATTCGATGTAAAATTTGCATAAAACAATTAGAGGCTGGCAGAGAATTAGAGAAGTCTAGTCCTGCAATGGCAAAGCCGCCTGTTAATTGAGCCTGTAGCTGGAAATGCTCTTTGAGGACACTTTTCACTCTTAAAGTAAACCCAACAGAGGGAAAAAATAGGGGCACCCAATGCTGAACTATTGAGTATTCCAAGTGTGTGGCCATATATGCTAATTAAAGTATGGATCAGGCAAATCAGAAGTCCTTATGTTCATTGTTTTGGTCAGCAACTCAAATTTTGAAGCCCGAGCGTTGGCATGACAGTCAGCAAGTAGCATGTTGAAAAAAATAATTCTAATGGCAGGCTCCACATTTCTCATGGAAACATTCCTTTAAGCAGGGGTATGTAGATATTCTTTGGCCTATGTTAGAAGTTTTTGTAGTAGAATATTGTAGTTAAATCTTTTGTGTGTCATCTACATCTACATCAGATTTCCTCAACCAGAGTATCCTTTGGGTTCCCCTGAGATGTCGTGGGCGCGAAACCCAGTTTGCACTGAATCAGAGATGGAAGACAGGGCTCTGTGATCCAGGGGAAGCGCTGATGTGATGATGGGACTCTGCCATGGAGGGTTCTCTTTAGTATAATGTTAGTCTGAGGTAGAGTGGGAGCTGTTTAGACCCTTGTTCAGGTTTTCATGCACTTTCATTAAAATCTCAACTAACTTGTGACACTGCCACTAGTATGGGAATAGAGATGGCCAATGGGCCACAGGGCAGAAAGCTTGACAGATGCTCTACCTCTTCCTGATATAGCTAAAAATTAAACATTTTGGCTGACAATACGTTTAAGCAATATAAACGCATCCTCATTGAAGGGGTTTTTCTAGTTCTCCATTCATACGTCAGCATGTATGCTAAATACAGCCCAATCATCCAATAAAATCTATCACAGTGCAGACACTTTTGGGGCACACCAGAAGAAAGACATGGCCACATAGCAGACATTTGGGATGTTCCTTTAAGTGTTGCTGGAAGTTGTAAACCTCGTGTGCCACACTCGCACTTCTAGGCTCTGGCTGTTTATGTTCAGCGTCCTCTTGCGTGCCGGGATCGCATTTCAAGGCTCCGGGTTTGCTTCATTCTAGCTTTTAGGTCTTTTGGTTCAGAGGGAGCCCACATCCGATATGCAGACTCCACATTCTAAAAACAGGAGGCTGGTGGTTCTGCCCAGTTAGAGCTCTAAAAAGTTTCTGCTTAGTGCTTATCTTTCACTGATGTGTGCTTATGTTGATGCAAACTGGCACACGTCCCTGTTCAGCACTATCACTGGGTGTCTATTTTTGCTGTGATATATGTGATATGGCAGAACTTCTAATTGCTAGTGTCGCCAACTAAGATGCCAGTTGAGGCACATGTGTAGGAACGGTTATATCCAAGAAGACTTGCCAGTCTCTTATATCCCCTACTCCTGCTGTGGTACATGACTGCATAGCATAATGAGGGTGACGCCACCTTTAAAAACTGCTGTTGTGATGACTTCGACCACTGCTTCAGCTTCTGTTTAACCGTTTGGTTTATTGGAAAACATCACTGCATTCAGGACCCCCAACCTGAGCTCCCTGGCTCCTGAAAGCCTACTTAAGAACCTTCCTTCCCACCCAGGCACTGCCACTGCAAACCCCATCTCGGCTTACGCTGAAAGATCTTTTTAGGTAAGTATGTTTGTGAGAATGGAAAGTTGGCATAACTGACAAAGGAATATTTTGGTAGATTAAAATGAGTGAACACATTTTCTTGGAGCTTTTCTTTAATTCTAACACTTCAAAACTTTTTCAGGGGTGCTCTGTGAGCGACACGGTGACCTTATGTACTCCATTCCAGCATTGCTTGGCTCTTGTCCAGGAGTCCTCTAGTCAAAGTATTGGGTGTCTCTTGGTGTTCACTGTGGGAGTTCAGAGCTGTAACTACTTCTGACGATAACATTTTATCAGATATTACTAATCCTTACAAACTTTTTGAGCTTCTGGCATCCTTTTTCCAAAAAATAAAATCTAACTACTTCCAGGCTTGTCGTTCCATGCTCTAAGGAACTTCACTTTTATGTATAACACTTTTCAACCTCAGTGCTTTAGCTCAACTTTGCCTTGTCTCATACTATAGAATGGGACATTTTTATAGCCTTTGATTAGCAAGTGCTGGCTTCTGATCGATAGCAATCCAAATTATACAGAGATTGGGGGAGATTTACTAAAAAATGTTTCTTTTCTAACTTCAGCTTGTTCAGTTAAACCTCGGCAATAAAGCCTGGAAGCTGATTGGTTTCTTTGCAGAGTTGCATCAGATTTTGCACGCTCCAGTTTTAGTAAACCCCATTGTGTTTTGGAAGTATACTTTGGGTGTAAAGAATACAAATCTATTCAAGTCTGTGTTCTGAACTCAAAGTGCCTTCTCTTGCTCATGGAGGATATTACAAGATGGCAGAAAAAAAAACACAACAAGAAACCATTTTATGAAAAATAGATTACAAGGTTATTAAGTAGTGGATGGGTATAGATTATTTCTGGAGAAAAAATAATATTGTTTATTGTGTCCCTTTAGGCACTAACTATTCTTTATAAGATGCAGACCATTTGCTGAGTAGCATTTTTCTTCTGCAACAATTTTCCCACTCGGGTATTCCCTGTAGTAAAGGTATAGTTATTGGAATGGCTGGGAAAATACAGACTAGTGTGTTGCTGGCTTCCGCATTACACATTGTAGTCCTTGGAGTGGGGGATGTCCTGTTAAGAAATCTGTGCTAAGACACTGTAGTCTACTCCATAGCATCAATAAATCATATGTAATCTCTGGTTGTCAAAGATTATACACTTGAGATTTTAAAAACTTATTCTGATATGTCACAATTGCAGTGTTTCCTGGGCGACATTTAAATTCTTTCCTAAATTGACGATCAATACCATTTTCTAAACCGGTTTCTGCATTTATCATTGATTAAAAGGATTTGGTAAAAAATTTGCAGAGCATTATCCCTTTAAGGTTTACCTATGCCATGTTAGGGTTGACAGCTCCTTTACAGACCTTTAGCTGATTTCCAGAGTGCCACTGGAGCACCAATCTGAATATGAATGGTTGTTCTGCTCCCAATCCCAGTTGGCCAACTGACCAGTTGGGTAACTGTTTTTCCATCAACTGATGGGAACACACTTTTTACTAGTGTTTGAGTCTAGTCAATATGCTGACCTGCCTTTGGCACATTCAATTTGGAGTGAACAGCTCCTGAATTCGGTAAGAATTCTATATAGGCAAATACAAATAAATTATTGGCTTCCAAATCGGAAGTGCTCAGTTTGTAGAGCATTATTGCCTAAAGTTGTACCTATGGTGTGAAGGTTGACAGGTCCTTTACAGATCTTTAGCCGATTTCCAGGGCTCCTCAGGAGCCCCAACCAGTATATGGATGGTTTTCTGCACCCAATCCCATCAACTAATGGAATACACTTTTTATTAGTGTTTGAGTCTAGCCAGTATGCTGAACTGCCCTTGACAAGTTCAATTTGGGGTGAACACCTCCTGAATTCAGTAAGGATTCTGTATAGGCAGTTACAAATAATTGACTTGTGACTTGTTTAATGTCATATAAGGAACATTGGGAGGCCACCACTACCCAGCTTCTTGAAGTGGCTTTAATTTGAAGGTGATGTATTTCTTTGCACACGTGCCCCCCTTGGACCATTTTGGGAATTAAAGGACAGGAACATCAATCATGTGCTTTGTGACAGGTTCCTATTAAAATGTTTTAAAAGATTAGGGCCTGTAGTTGGAATTTGACCCCCCGACAAAATCCTGCTTTGAAATATCAACTACAAATTGCACACATTACAGCTCAGTGTGATTGGTGGCCTCTCCCAACCACACTTCTTTGTTTAATATCTTACTTGGGGGTCATGGGAAGTGATCTATAACCTTCACCACAAGAGCTGCTGTTGTATAAAGACACCCTGTGCACATAACCTGACTTTATAATAATTTACTGGAGGTTTTTGAATCCTGGCAGTCCTGAGCATTCCACTGAAAAGATTCCATACCTGGGTGTTTATATATAACTCTGGCATTTTCTGGAAACCACACGGTGTTCTATTTTTAAATGAATAGAACCATGTGGTTTAAGAAAATATATTTTCCTCTCCGTTCTTGCGTCGTAACTTTTTTCCAGACGTGAACTGGTTATCACAACACGCGAAGTGAAACAGGGCTCTGTTCCTTTGAGTTCAGCCTGTGCCCTGTCCAATTTGTGCAAGCGCTGCCAGCTTGGAGGTGGGAGATAGCTTGAGTCATCAGGTCACATGGTCATTGTTTATGCCAGTTCTTGGCGGCACATCCAGGAATTATCTGTAATTCAGGGATTAATGTGTAAGGCTTTTATAGTTTACAAATGTCACTTTAGATGGACTTGTGACATCTGTAGCGGCAGTAATTTTTTTGGAAGATTTGTTGGCTTTTCAGTATGTGTTGCTTCCTTGGCTTCTTAAAGCACTCTAACCCAAATATTAAAGTGAACCATTTAATTTACTTATTCCTTTAGACATCACAAGGATACTTTTCAATTTTAGATGGTGTAATTACCTGAAATCTGTTCTGTGGCTTTGACAAAACCAGCAGAATTTGGGCTTGACATTTGAGTGTCTGCTCTTAGACGACTACAGGTTGGAAGGTAAAGAGTTTATAAAGATCTGAAGAGTACAGTCTCCCTCCATTATGTAGCCACATAGAACAGCAGGACTGGAGAGATGAGTACATGCATGATGTTACAGATCTTCAGTCGGGTAAAACAAACTGTGTTTTTAGTGCTGCTCTACTAAAACATCAGGGTGAAAGCAGTATAAAAGCATTCTAGTCCATGGACCAATTTAAGCTCAGTTCCCCTACTTCATAGTGGTGGTGGCTCTTTTCAGTAAGGTTTCTATCATCTTGTTCAAACTCAACATATAATATTGGGCTATGCTGTCGCAGTAGCTTTTTCAGGTAAGGGGCCCTAGATAAAATCGGGCACTGTCTTTGTGCACTCTTAACTGTTGCATGGTTATGGCATGTTGCATAGACCTTGACATTGTAGCTTCTCGAGATTTGTGAATGTGAGCTGTATCGGCTTTTGAAACAATTTTTTTTATTCTCCAGATTGCTTTTCTTTCCTAAAACCTCACAACAGTATTGGCATGTGCAAGGTTTTTGTATCTTTTAAACTAGATGTGGTGAGGAGTCTTAAAAGGGGTCACCACGTCAGGCATATCTTTTCCTTGAACTGCACGCACCCTAAATTCTCACAGATTTTTTTTTTTTTTCTTTACACTACTTTTAATGGAAATGTAACTTGAATAGAAAATGACTGTTGCTGTATATTGTGACAAGTCAGGAATTTATTAATGCAGACTTGTAAATATATTGAAAGGTCTACTTTAAGGCTTGCTAAGGTGTGGAATATTAGGATCCTTAGTCTTGGGGGTTCCTCAAATATTGGAACAGATTCAAACCCTCTAGTTACAAATAACCAGGCAAAACTATTTTCTAATCTGCTGCCCGTCTGCAGACCAGCTTGTAGTTTAAAAACTTGCTAAACCATTTTGAAGTGGTTTGATGTATCCATTTACTTTGAAGGCCTTTATGTTCTGGTGATGTGAAGAATCTTCATCTTCACTTTGTGAGTGCAGTTAGATCTGGGTCATGACTGCATCTCAGAATATTTCAAGTATGTGGCATAAACTGCATGATCCAGCCTCTGATATGACATTTTGATGAGGATTGGGGCATAGAGGGGCCTCCCTGAGGGATACCAGCAGGGTTTCTACAATCTGAATAACCCAGTCACTAATTTTCTTGTTTGCATGGCCCTGCTCTTTGTTCTTGCTATCTCTAGCTATGGTCACCTATAGCTATGACTTGATAACACAAGTTAAAAAAAAATAATTTGATTGCTCCCAATTTCATTCACATAAACATGTATGCTCTAATTCTCCATGGTATACAGCCAGACGGATCTCTATGCAGCTGGTTTGGACTAGCATGTTTTGTCTATTTTTTGGAGGACCGTGGTAAACTTTGCGTTACTATAACAGAATATTGGGAAACAATGGTCTACCAACACTTTGCTGAAATACTACAGTGCAATAGGGGATTTTCACCAAATGACTCTCCCTTTAAAAAACTGTTTTGAGATGTTTTTTCTAATGAAGACCTAAACTAGGCAAAATCATCCAGCTTAAGTGGAAAAATTAAAGGGAGAACACTAGGGTTGATCACATGATTATGGCAAACTATGCCTGCACTTATATTTGGCATGAGAGACTGATATTCTTGAGAAAATAGGGAATTTTACTTTAAACCACTTTGTTTTTTTGCTGAAGGTATAAATTGCAAGTGTATAATTTAGTTCTCTTTCTTCCAGGTGGAATCTTGCCCAACAAACTGTGTGTGCCCCAAAGAAGCACCATCCTGTGCCCCTGGCATCAGCCTTGTGACAGACTCCTGTGGGTGCTGTAAGGTTTGTGCCCGCCAGTACAACCAGGATTGTGATCTGAGACACCCATGTGACCACATCAAGGGGCTGCACTGTGATTTTGGAGCTGATCCCTCATCTACTGCAGGCATCTGCCGAGGTAAACACTACAGAGTATCCACTCTTTCAAAACCATTAACTCATTGGATGTAAAATGTCCTCTCAGCTGTTGTGTGTCAATACCAGCTATTCTCCTCTATAAAAAATTCCCATCTCCTGCACACCTTGAGATTTCAAAATGGGCCTGCAGTGAACCTGAATCCTTTTTCAAGAGGGCAGAGACATCTGTCATCCCCTGCACAGCAGCACTAAGGCTGGGAGAGGGATTGGCCACACTAGGAGCCCCACAAGCACTGGTGCATGTGCTACCAGGAAAGTGACAAAGATGGTCCATCAGTAGGTAGCTGCTCTTTTACTGTCCAGTCAGCAACTTGGATATGAGGAGTTGACACTACCATTCCTTTATTCTAACAGAGAAAGTGGTATTGCCCTCTGAGCTGTGGTATATAAAATCACAAAAGTGGTTAGACAAAAATTCAAATATCCAGAAGATAGGGCAGTTCACATTCATGTTTTTGCCCATTTCGTATTTCTTACTGCTAATAAAAACTACATGCTAACATGGCACTCAACATCTAACTAGATAATATACAAATACCATCTTGAAGATGTTTGTTCTTGGTAAAAACTGGCAATAGCACTTCATGTACAGACCAAACGGAGAGGAATAATTAAGATTAATTACTCTGCATGACCAATGACCCAGATCTGGGTGTAATTACATTTAAACTTGCACCTCTCTACCTATCACAAGTCATTAGTGAAAGATGAGCTGCATATATCCGCTGGGCAAAGGCCTGTACTTGGCGCCACTTCTAACATTGGCAGAGGGGTTTTTTTTAGAGCAGATATAATTCAAGTCAACTCCACACCTGGTGAGATGTTATGGCAGCCATCTACATGTCTGGAGATTATTTATCCTCAAACATGGAACAGTAAACATGCTGAACTTAATTGCCCAAGACTTTTATGACTGAATTGTTGGCACTCTCATAATTTTATCTTTCCTCTATCGAGTAGGGAGTAGGGTTATTGATCTGACAGAAGCATTTTGGTGTAGTATATTTCCAAAGTCTAGCTATCAGGGTGTAATTCACAAGCAAATTGTTTAACCTTAACTACTTCATGTTTAATGTAAAGTCCACCTAGTGTAGCTACTACTGTAAAACACTTGCCTTCAGCCTTGAATGCATGGTGTCACTTGGCCTTCAATATAAATAGTCCCAGCCAGGCTGCACACACATCATGCCCAATTCATTCCTCTAGATGGCTGTACATAAGGTTGCGTGGTGTGCTTGTGCAGTGGATACCCACCAGGGCTGTTTACTTGCAAGTGTGGCCTCACAGTAAAGATCTCTGGATTGAGTTTGAAGGGGGCAGGCCTTCACAGTAGAACTTACCTAAAAGTACTACTGCCCTTTTTTAACTGAGAGGATTAAATGGTTTTATAAACATCTACATGATGCACCCAAAAAACTAGTTTTTGTGCTCTACAGAGATCTAAAAAGAGGAAAGCCAAAGTGTTTTTGCTTTTTAGATTCTGTGGGGTGTGAGGTGGTGGAGTTGTAAAAAAACAGACAGGGAAGGGGTGGAGTATAAATGTTAGCTTATGCAAGTCAGATTTTCTCCATGTGAAGTTAAAGCATATCTAAAAGCAAACACTTTTTTCAGTTTTGAATGGAGTACATGAGGCTTACAACCACTATGAGTTTGTAGGTTTTTGGGTTGTTAGAAGTTGTTTTCATGGGAACAAGGATCCCGATTTTTAAAGATTATTCCTGTTCTGTTCACAGCTCAAAACTTTTGGATTTACCCTTTCTTTCATTCCTGGTGACATTGGTGATAGAGAGAGCATGAATCTCCCTAAATGGGGGGGGGGGGGGGGGAGAGAGAGAGAGCAATAAAAACAGACAATGGTTTTATCCCCTCACTGCTCTAGCCAAATCTTTTAAGGCTAGCATCCCAAAACATGGAATATATTTAGAGCTCCGATTGCGTCTCAGAAATGCTTCCTGCAAAGTTAGCACAATGGCAGTTTGCATTCATGCAATTAATGTAGAGCATATATTTGCTTGACATCTCTGTATTTAATACAGCACAAATGCATCCTTTACTTTCTTTCCAGCAAAGTCTGAAGGCCGACCCTGTGAATTTTTTGGCCAGATCTACCAAAATGGGGAGAACTTCCAACCCAATTGCAAGCACCAGTGCACCTGCATGGATGGAGTGGTCGGATGCATGCCCCTGTGTCCGCAGGAAATGGCTTTGCCTAGCGTAGACTGCATCAATCCCAGGCTAGTGAAGGTCCCTGGCCAGTGCTGTGAAGAATGGATGTGTGACAGCAACCACATCTCCGAAGACTCAGGAGACCAAACTAACGGAGACGTAGATGACTCCTTGAAGTCCTCTGAAGAGATGGTAGAGCAAGAAGACGTTGAGCCAGTCTCCAGCAATGAACTCATAACTTTGGTCCGCAATGGGTTTAAAGTGGACCCAGGTAAACAGACAATTAAATGAATGTCACGTATTTGGGAGAATAACGGCAACATTGCTGCCTTTGTTTCCTCTTTAATGTATAGGGGTTTCATTGTCTACCCCTCTTGTTACAGGTCTTGGCCCTCATCCGCAACCTGATCGTTCTAGCTGTGCTATTCAGACCACAGAATGGTCCCAGTGCTCAAAATCCTGTGGCATGGGCATGTCTACCAGGATAACCAATGACAACCCACAATGCAAACTAATGAAGGAAACACGTCTGTGCAAATTCGACCCTGTAAGGACCCCTTGCCTACAAAACCGAAGGTATGGCTTTTCTGCTAATGAAAGCATTGCTGCTCTACAATGACTATTCTTATACAGTTAATGAATTATGATTAAAGTGCAAAGTATCATCCAAGTGACAATCTGACTATACTGTTTCTAGGCTGCATATAATTGATCTGTTGAATAACTGATCAGCTGACCGTTTTGTGCTAGGATATATTTATATACCTTAATACAAGACGACAAATGGATACCAATGGGATTCCAAGCTTGCAGTTTAGACAGCATTAATTTACCCTCGTGCTTTGGAGTCACGTGTCCAATGTCCTATAGAGAAAGCCGACACGGAAGTGGCTTTTCTCTACAGGTTTATATGGGCCCCATTTTCTTTATATACTGGTGACCTCTTTATGTAGCCATTTATAGATTACAAATAGAGCGCCTGTAAAAATATAATAATTGAAGAACAATGTACAAATGTAGTATTCACCAGAAATATGAACCCAAAGTGAAGGTGGAAATTATGCTGCTTATCCAAGTTCTCAGTTTCTTCCCTCATTAAAAAAAAATACTCACTGCTTTTCCTCTCTCCTCTCCCTTCCTCTTTTTGTCCTTCCCTCCCTAACATAAGGATAGGCACAAATGTTGTGCTCGGCCCACCCCCACACACTTTTATTTGGCTTTTCTCTTGGGCTGCATTGGTCACAGGGGCGGACTGACCATTTGGAAACTCAGGCACTGCCCGAGGGCATGGGGTCAGTAGGGGGGCCCCATGAGATGCCCCTGGTACACTTTTTTTTTTTTTTTTTTTCATAGGATTTTTTGAGTTTGGGCAAGGACACGGGCCCCATGATCCCCTATTGCCCGGGGGCCCCATGAGTTGTCAGTCCGCCCCTGATTGGTCACCTATGGATTTTCCATTCCAAAGCCATTTCCTTGCTCCTGAGTGACAACTGCCCTACGGTTTACACATTAGGTATCTGCTTACCATCCAAGACTTTCACAGAGACCTTTGCGACCGATCTGCTGAAGGAAACTGGCTTTTTTGTTTTATTTTTTTACTCTTACATTCCTTGCCTATATTGGAGTTTAATTGACAGATGTGCCTTATTTCCATTTGTGTGTTTTTTGTTTTTTTCTTAGAGACACTACTTGAAAATGGGGATACACTGTGTATATCCTTCTGTTCTAATAACATTTAAGCGATTCTGGATTTAATTTCAAAATTGATCTTTGAATTTCTGATTCCTTGGTGATGCCTCACTGGGGCTTCTGTTCCTGTAAGATTTCTACTTGTATACCTAAAACTCAATAAAACTTTAGTCTTTAAAAGAAAAAAATGCATACTAGCTGGGGATGATATCTATGTGGTTTCCTTAAACTTGATGGTGTTTCCACTACGGTTTTAAAATATAAGACCACTGGGGCAGAACCTGATGTGAATTCTTGTTTTTTGCTCTTCAAAATGTGTTTCTTATGATAATTTTAGCTAGTAGTTAGTGGCAAATGATTATGAAATTTAGGATTATGATTACTTTAACCTTTTGGTTTGTCTCAAATGGCAGCCTAGCTTGTTTAATTTATGATTCAACTTTTTTTCTTCAACCAGAATGGCAAGAAATGTACCAGAATAAAGAAGGCCAAGCAAGCTGTGTACTTCGCCTATGCCGGCTGCACCAGTGTACGACGGTACAGGCCACAATACTGCGGCTCTTGCTCAGATGGACGGTGCTGCACCCCATCAAAGACCCGAACAATGCGTGTTCGCTTTCGCTGTGATGATGGAGACACCTTCCAGAAAAGTATGATGTGGGTGGAAAAGTGTCGCTGTCACCAAAACTGCCCCTATCACAGTGAGCTGTCTTACCCACATTATCGGTTACACAACGACATCCATAAGTTCACGGATTGAGTGGGGACATGATATACCCTTTGGACTTATGGGGCGGTGGCCATAAACTATGGCTCCCCAACTTTCAAACCGTTTCCAACTTACAGGGCCTGATCACCAGGAACTTGGTGGTGAAGCAGGAATGGTGCGTCTATACCCAAATGTGGTCTAGAGACCTGTGACTTTCCATTCACCTTCTTATAAGCTCACCAATGTGGAAGTGTGGGATGCATGACCCTCAGCTTAGTCATGGTAGCAAGGCAGCATTGCTGACTTATTACAACATGGGTGAAGAAAACACAGCTGATTAGTCAAAATGCTGTATGAATTGATATTTTGCATCTGGGGTAATGCACATGATTCACAATTAAGGGAAAATTCAGTATACCTTTGCTGTAAGGTTGTAAGAACGGTATTATAGAAGAATAAGTTGGAAATGTCCCACCAAGTTGGTGCTGGGTTGACCAGTTCTTGTTTCCTGGAGGTGTGGTGATCAATGGAGGATATAAAGATAGCACTACTTGTCAAATTGCCTTTCATACCAACGTAGATCATTATATGTTTGGATCTAATCTAAAGTCCCTATGACTAAGGTTCTAACGGAGTACCTAAGTTAAGTTAATTTTAGCATTGGCTAGCAAAACAGTGTAGTTAGTACAGTCACTGGAAGACTTCATGATCTTCTGAGGCCAGGACTAGTGGTGAAGAAACACCACCACCACCTTAAAACTGTGTGACTCTAAAGAATAGACCAGAGGCTCTTAGCCTTCCAAAGTAAGAACCCTACAACTTGACCCAAAACAGATCAGATATGTGATAACCTTATATGATCTTGAACTGTAGAAAAAGCATCCTGACGAAACTATGAAACTGAAAGTGGACTATAGCGGATATAATGTCTAGTTTGCTTGATTAAATGCTCATTATGTAGTTAAAAGGATGGCTGATTAGATGAGACAACGATAAGTTTTATGTGCCACCAGATACAGTGGGGCAAAAAAGTATTTAGTCAGCCACCAATTGTGCAAGTTCTCCCACTTAAAAAGTTGAGAGAGGCCTGTAATTGGCATCATAGGTAGACCTCAACTATGAGAGACAAAATGAGAAAAAAAATCCAGACAATCACATTGGCTGATTTGGAAAGAATTTATTTGCAAATTATGGTGGAAAATAAGTATTTGGTCAATATCAAAAGTTCATCTCAATACTTTGTTATATATCCTTTGTTGGCAATGACAGAGGTCAGATGTTTCCTGTACGTCTTCACAAGGTTGGCACACACTGTTGCTGGTATGTTGGCCCATTCCTCCATGCAGATCTCCTCTAGAGCAGTGATGTTTTGGGGCTGTCGCTGGGCAACACGGACTTTCAACTCCCTCCAAAGGTTTTCTATGGGGTTGAGATCTGGAGACTGGCTAGGCCACTCCAGGACCTTGAAATGCTTCTTACGAAGCCACTCCTTCGTTGCCCGGGTGGTATGTTTGGGATCATTGTCATGTTGGAAGACCCAGCCACGTTTCATCTTCAATGCCCTTGCTGATGGAAGGAGGTTTGCACTCAAAATCTCACGATACATGGCGCCATTCATTCTGTCCTGTACATGGATCAGTCGTCCTGGTCCCTTTGCGGAGAAACAGCCCCAAAGCATGATGTTGCCACCCCCATGCTTCACAGTAGGTATGGTGTTCTTTGGATGCAACTCAGCATGCTCTCTCCTCCAAACACGACGAGTTGTGTTTCTACCAAACAGTTCTATTATGGTTTCATCTGACCATATGACATTCTCCCAATCCTCTTCTGGATCATCCAAATGCTCTCTAGCAAACTTCAGACGGGCCCAGACATGTACTGGCTTAAGCAGGGGGACATGTCTGGCACTGCAGGATCTGAGTCCCTGGCGGCGTAGTGTAATACTGATGGTAGCCTTTGTTACGTTGGTCCCAGCTCTCTGCAGGTCATTCAATAGGTCCTCCCGTGTGGTCCTGGGATTTTTGCTCACCGTTCTTGTGATCATTTTGACCCCACGGGGTGAGATCTTGCGTGGAGCCCCAGATCGAGGGAGATTATCAGTGGTCTTGTATGTCTTCCATTTTCTAACTATTGCTCCCACAGTTGATTTGTTCACACCAAGCTGCTTGCCTATTGCAGATTCAGTCTTCCCAGCCTGGTGCAGGTCTACAATTTTGTTTCTGGTGTTCTTCGACAGCTCTTTGGTCTTCACCATAGTGGAGTTTGGAGTGTGACTGTTTGAGGTTGTGGACAGGTGTCTTTTATACTGATAACAAGTTCAAACAGGTGCCATTGATACAGGTAATGAGTGCAGGACAGGGGAGCCTCTAAAAGAAGAAGGTACAGGTCTGTGAGAGCCAGAAATCTTGCTTGTTTGTAGGTGACCAAATACTTATTTTCCACCATAATTTGCAAATAAATTCTTTCCAAATCAGCCAATGTGATTGTCTGGATTTTTTTTTCCTTATTTTGTCTCTCATAGTTGAGGTCTACCTATGATGCCAATTACAGGCCTCTCTCATCTTTTTAAGTGCTAGAACTTGCACAATTGGTGGCTGACTAAATACTTTTTTGTCCCACTGTACAAGTTGTTAGTTACCAATAGTTTGGTTTTCCTAAGAATTATGGTGGACAACTTTGTCTTGACCTAAATCATGGGCTGAATAGTTCATTCCGAATAAATTTGGCACCTAGTTGGTGCTCGGATTGGGCTGTGATTGGTGGAGACAGCCTTACCCATTGCCCTTTTTTTTTATATATATATTTTTTTTTTTTTTTGTAGAATTAAACAAGGGAATTTTTAAGATTCACTTTTTGTTTTCATGCAAAAGCACTTTAAAAATGCATATTTTTGCATCAGAGAACCTTTGATTTGTCAGTTACCCCAATGACCTCAGCAGTAGTTGTCAACCATAAGTTGGCACCTTGCTGAAACAAAAGCAGACCTTCCCTCCAAAGAAGTGACTACAGTATCTTTAGCAATAAAGATATATAAAACAAAAATATCTCCTTAAAATTGAAGTAGAGAATTTCAATAAAGCTTCTGGCCTGGCAAAGTTTTGGGCAACAATTGCATAATGCGTCTACTGCACCATTGTGGCAAAAAACAAAACTAGTATTCGGTTTAAAGAATCTTTTCTTGAGTGCAGAACCAATTAGAATTTACTATCCTGACGTATGGCCAGTACAGGATGAATTTTAATTGGGTACTATAGGTTAGTGTACTTAAGAGTAACTCCATTTTTGTGGGGAAAGAAAATGTGCAAAAGAAAAAAAAATGCATATATAATTGCTACAGAAGTTATTGTAATTAAATGTTATTAAAAAGTACCAGTTTTCAAATGCAGCTCTGTAATTTTCTTTAATATTCAAAGCAATATGGCAACCTGGAGGCATTCCTGACACACCATTTCTTTCTTGGTTAAGAAGTCATTTTAAGAGGTTAAGAAGTCATATTTGGTGAGACACTCCCTAGGGGTTAAGCACTTCTGAAGGGATGAAGATGCAGTAATTTTTTACATCTGAACACAGAAATTGCATCAGCTGATTATATATTCATAATTGATGTCTAAAAGGCATTGAAATAAACAGCTTTTTCTACAGAGCAGAAAAAGGTAGGAATCTGCAACAAAATGTGTTAAAAATCCCTACATCCCCTCAACAAAAGTGGAGTTGCACTTTAAGAATTAGAAATGAACTGGGGAGGAGGGGGTAGCCAAAATCAGTTTTTTTTCCATGGGTTGGTGTTTGAAGAAAGTTTTGTTCCACCTTACTGAAGCTTATAGGGTGGATCCTAGGCCACCATTTTGTAAGAAAATATAACCCTCTTATAGAAACTTGTGAATGCCTTGAGATTTTCTGTTACAGAGAAGGCAGTCTATCAATCTAACCAAACTGAGAGCTAATTACAAAGGGAAATGAAGCAGAAGTGAAATATTTGCATAGTGACCACCTTGCAAGTTCTTAGAAGAAAATCTAAAATCTGATTTGTCATTTGTACTTTTTTTTCCTCTTTCTCCAGTTTTATTATAAATGGCACACTGTGACAAGTAAAAGGGCACTGTTGGTTTCTAGGGGGCGGTATGCTTCAACTAAAAAATGGCTTCCAGTGTGTTTGCAAAAGGTCAGAATGATTATACTCCAAGCACTTTCATTGGGTGTCTTCTGTATTTTGGAGTTGATATATTAAGTATGGTAGACTATATGAACCTGAAAAAGTGCCTATAAGTATGTACTGTTTAATGGATCCCCACACAGACCCTTCAAGGTGACTTTCCAAAAGGCACAAAATTGTATGCTCTCCAACTTCTATCATATGAGCTGTGGAACATATTGATATCCTACATTTGCTCCCCCTTCCCTCAACAAACTATTTATTTGCTGGGATGTTTTCCTTGAAACCCCTCCTATTGGCTTTTTTAGCTGCTCCATTTTTTTTTTTCCCAGTACTTTCACTGACATCCACAGCTGCTTCTTAAATTTCCCTTCATTCCTTACTAGTTTCCTTTGAAAAAGTGACGTGACCTACCCAGTTGTTTAAGGATGTGCAGGATTTGCTCATCTGCCTTCCACAATGCAGGACTGAGGATTGGCAATTGAATACTCCGGTGCCCATTCCTGTCACATAGGCAGTGGGAGAGTCCTCAACCCCTGAGTAGGTTTAAAGTTGGTTCTTGTGCAGGGCTTCTCTTTCCTCCAGCTAATGAATGGAACCAAAATGTAGTGAAAGCAACATGTAAGCAGGGCTGGCATTAAAGGGAACCTATCTTACCATGCAGAGGCAAAATTAGTTAATACTTTGCCCTCTAAAAGCTTTGGACCCCCTTGGTTATTGATCTGCCAATCCTCAGGGGCTCTTATGTGGCATCCCCCCTTAACATGAATGCACGGCCAAATATTTTTGGTCTACCTATTTGGGGGGCTGCTGCATTGGCTTATCACAGAAAGGAACAATAGAACTTGGAGAAGGTACACTATCCTGACTCTTCTTCCGTCCAATAGATGTCATACAG